TTTATCCATTTTGAGTTTATTTTTGTGTATGGTGTAAGTTGGTGGTCTAGTTTCATTTTTTTTGCATGTATCTGTCCAATTTTCCCACCATTTATTGAAGAGACTGTCTTGACTCCATTGTATGATCTTGCCTCCTTGATCAAATATTAATTGAGCATAATGGTTTGTTGGCATTTCTGGGTTCTCTATCCTATTCCATTGGTCTATATGTCTGTTCTTGTCCCAGTCCCAGGAAGTTTTGAGAACAGTGGCTTTGTAATACAGCTTGATATCTGGTATTGAGAGCCCTCCTACTTTGTTCTTCTTTCTCAGGATTGCTGCAGCTATTCAGGGTCTTTTTTTATTCCAGATGAATTTTTGGAAAGTTCATTCTAGCTCTGTGAAATATGCCGATGGTATTTTAATGGTGAGTGCATTGAATTTATAGATTGCTTTGGGTAGTATGGACATTTTAATGATGTTAATTCTACAAATCCATAAACACAATATATTCTTCCATCTGTTTATGTCTTCCTCTATCTCTTTTTTCAGTGTCCTGTAGTTTTCCAAGTACTGGTCTTTTACCTTCTTAGTGAAGTTTATTCCTAGGTATCTTAATTTTTTTTTGTGCGATGATAAATGAGATTGGTTTTTTTTTAGTCTCTCTTTCTGTAAATTCACTATTGGTGTATAGAAATGCCATAGATTTCTTGGCGTTAATTTTGCATCCTGCTACATTGCTGAATTCATTTATTAAGTCTAATAATATTTTGATGGAGTCTTTAGGGTTTTCTATGTACAGTATCATATCCTCTGCAAATAATGACAGTTTTACATCTTCTTTTTCAATTTGGATACCTTTTATTTATTCTTCTTTTCTAATTGCTGTGGCTAGTACTTCCAGAACTGTGTCCAACAGGAGTGGTGAAAGTGGGAGTCCCTGTCTCATTCCTTTTCTTAGGTGAAATGGTTTTAGTTTTTTCTCATTGAGTATGAATTTGGCTGTAGGTTTGTCATATAAGGCTTTTATTATGTTGAGTTATGATCCCTCTATTCCCACATTGCTGAGGGTTTTTATCAAGAAAGGGTGTTGGATTTTGTCAAATGCTTTTTCTGCATCAATTGACATGACTATGTGATTTTTATATATCATTTTGTTTATGTGATGTATCACATTTATTGATTTGTGGATATTGTACCATCCCTGCATCCCCAGGATAAATCCCACTTGGTCATGGTGTATGATCTTTCTGATGTACTGCTCCATTCGATTTGCTAGAATTTTGTTGAGGATTTTGGCATCTATGTTCATGAGGGATATTCGACTCTAATTCCCTTTCATTGTGTTGGCTTTATCAGGTTTTGGTATTAGTATAATGCTGGCTTCATAGAATGAGCTTGGAAGTGTTCTTTCCTCTTGAGTTTTTTGGAATAGTCTGAGGAGGATAGGTTTTAGTTCTTCCTTGAATGTTTGGTAAAACTCTCCTGTGATGCCATCTGGTCCCGGGCTTTTGTTTGCTGGAAGCTTTTTGATGACTGCTTCAATTTCCTCCATAGTTATCGGCCTATTGAGATTTTTAGATTCTTCCTGATTAAGTTTTGGAAGGTTGTATTTTTCTAGGGATATGTCCATTTCCTCCAGGTTGTCTAGTTTGTTACAATAGAGTTGTTCATAGGACTTTTTTAAACAATCCTTTGTATTTCTGTGGAATCTGTTGTTATTTTGCCTCTTTCAATTCTGATTTTGTTTATTTGGGTCCTCTCTCTTTGCTTCTTGGTGAGTCTGGTTAGAAGTTCATCAATCTTGTTTATCCTTTCAAAGAACCAGCTCTTGGTTTCATTGATCTTTGTATTGTTTTTGTCATTAATTTTTGACAGTTTTAATACAAAGTGCCCTGCAGATGTCCTCTTTAGATTGAGGTAACTAGGTGTTCTGTTTGTTTCTTGGATTTGAGGATCTAGTTCTTTCTTTAGGTTTTAGAAGTTGTCATCCACTATTTGTTTGAATAGACTCTACATTCCTTGCTCCCTCTTGTCTTCTTTTGGAATGCCACTAATTCTAATATTGCATTTGCTGATGGATTCAGAAAGTTCTCATTAGAGCTTTTATTTTTCTTTATGCTCAGGTTTCTCCTTCCTTCTATGTCATTTCTACTTTCTTATCTTTGATATCACTAATATTTTCCTCCTGGTTGGCTTTGTTTTCTATACTCATAGTTTACTCTTAATCTCCTTAATTGCATGCTTCATTTATACGATTTCTGATTGGTTCCTTTTTAAAGTTTCCATCTCTTTGTTAAAGTACTAATTTTGTACATTGATTTGTTTTCTGAGTGCACTGAATTGCCTGCCATTATTTTCTCTTGCATCTCATTGAGTATTTTCAGAACTGAAATCCAATCTTGAGATTTGTCATTTATATCACATATTTCCATGTGTTCTAGCTTGCTTTCTGGGGCTTTTCATTTTCTTTCTGAACACCTCCTTACATCCATGTTATTTGATGTTTTTCTTTGTCTGGCATCCATATCTGCCTATATCAATGGTCGGCAAACCGCGGCTCGCAAGCCACATGCGGCTCTTTGGCCCCTTGAGTGTGGCTCTTCCACAAAATACCACGTGCAGGTGCGCGCGTACAGGGAACGTTGTGCAGTGAAAGAAGATGTAGTGTCAAGGATTGAGAAAGGTACGGTGAGATGGTTTGGACATATAATGAGAATGAACGAAAAGAGATAGACGAAACAAGTATACAAGACGAGTGTGGATGGGAGAGTTGGAAGGGGTCAACATCAGCGAACGTACCTCAATCAGATTGAGGACGTTTTTAGCAAAGGCCAGCTTAGGAGTACCCTAATTAAGTTAATAACAATGTACCTACCTATATAGTTTAAGTTTGAAAAATTTGGCTCTCAAAAGAAATTTCAATCGTTGTACTGTTGATATTTGGCTCTGTTGACTAATGAGTTTGCTGACCACTGGCCTATATTAACGGCCTTCTATAGCACTTTTCTCTGAATAGATCTTTCTACTGTTTTCCAGTAGATGGCACTAAAACACAAGATTTTATACCTCTGTGATTTCCCAGACTTGACCACCAAAGCTTCCATAAGACAGTGCAGCTGCACTGCTTGGGACTAGGGTTTGTTTTGCCCTCACTATAATGGTGACCACTGACCTCCATGGGGTCTCACCCCAAGCACCTCACCTGGGGATCAATCACAGAAGGAAATAGCAGTTCTACTGCAATAGGTCTTGGTTTACAGATAGTATGCCCCTTAATTTGACACCAAGGGCAATGGGATGAGAGTTTTGGGAGTCCAAGTGGCAGTGGGGCTCCTTGGTTCCATTTCTTGGTCTGAAACACCACTCAACAGTGGAGAACCAGATGGCTAAATCCCATGCTCAGTCAGGCGTCCACTGACTCAGTCACTGTTCGGATCAA